GATGGATGGATGATGATGATGGACGGACAGATGGACGGATGGATAGATGGATGGATGATGGATGATTGATGGATGATGGATGATGGATGGATGTTGTGTTATCAGGTTATCTGTTGGCCCTGAAAATCATTTGAATATAAGCCTGTAAATATTAAACATTTGTGTGTTAGCTTCAGTCAGTCATTTAAAGTCGGTTGCAGTGACCCACGCGACCCTGAAAAGGAAGAAGCGTGTACAGAAAATGGATGGATGGATGGATGGATGGATGAAAATAATACCAGTGTTTCATATAAATGCAATAAATTTAGGGATAAATTTTAAGAATGAATGGGTTTGCATTACAGATGCATCTTACAATGAGTTAAAAAGTCAAGTTTTTGTTAGTATGTGTTGACAACATGACACTGTTTATTTTGCTCCCAAAGCTTGAACAACATCCCCTTCTTCAAGATAATCAAAGATTCAAACTTTCCGGATCAATAACTCTTTGGTTTAATGCTGTCAAAACACAAACAAAGCATTTGTCACTGGCTATAATAAAGGAGGTGATGAATTATAAGAATTTCTTTAACTGAAATGACCCATCCTTATTGTGGGAGGAGTGACTTTTTATATAGTAACTCACATTAGATACACATGCTGTTATTGTTTGAACAGTAAAATCTCATTGCAAATTTCAAGCTTTTATCAGGGGGACTTCTGTAAAGCTCACATGTTAGTTGAGTCTGGCATAAGATGGGTATAAAGCTGCATGTTATGTTTTATTTAGATTAAACCAAACTCGACATCGACCCACCAGTAGATCTTTCTGTATTTAGCCAATATACAGTATAAGTTTAGCATTCATATTCATGTTCAGAGCTTCTAACTCCAACCAGTTAGGTCCTGTAGAGACAGTTTAACCCCCCCCCGTCATCATTTTTTGTTGTCTTTTTTGTGTTACAGCTTCAGATGCTGGGCTATGATGTCAGCTGGGCCGCTTTCAACATCGTTGAAGTCATGAGTTCCTCAAAGTTCACATACAAGGTATGACGGAAGTATTTGTTGATCCAATAATTTCTCTTTGTATACAACAGTTTATACACTGGATCAGTGACTTAAAAGTATGAAATTCGTTGAATAATTTTTTCCAAATTTCACATTTTCCGTTTTTATTTTTCTAAATTCTGCTTTTTCAGTTTTTTTCTGAATTCTCCATTTTCATTCTAACCATATTTATTAACCTAAAAAGTGCGTCACTGTAAAGTGACTGAAAAAAAAATGAACAAATGAATAACCACGGAATTCCAAATTCAATGACTATTATTTCACTTTTATTAACATAAATTTCTGTTGCTTTTGCAAGGTATTTATTAATATTTACTCATTTTTTTAGAGAACATGTGCAAAACAAAATCTTACACAAGGTGATGACAGCTACAGGGAGCAGCTGCAGCCAAAATAGCTCAAACTTTACGTACTTTCCAAAATTCAGAGGATTTGTGTTTTATACTGGATTCCATTTTGTTTGTTCAATTCTGTGCACACAAATCTTAGGCCATCCTCTGAGCGAGTCTTGAGGTTTTGATTCCATCGCTGTGCAGACATTGAACCCGTAATTGCCTCGGATGTTTGTCACAGAATGCAATTTAAAAACATTGATTATTATTGACATTATTGAAAGGAAACTTTGTTCAGATTAGTTTTGCAGAAACGTGGTGTAGTGCCACTTTGAGTCGCCTGCCTGGCTATAAAAGCGCCGTATGAGAGCAGTCCATTTAACATTTCTGATGAAAATTACATGCTTCTGCTTGCTTTTCATCTTGCAGAGGATTGGCTACTTAGCAGCCTCACAGTGCTTTCACGAGAGCACAGATGTCATCATGCTGACAACCAATCAGATTCGAAAGGTCAGTGATGAACTTGTTTTTTTGTATCCTGTAAAAAACATCCAGACTCTTATGCCTCTACAACCTTTTGCTCGCCCTTTTTGTTGTCCAGGATCTCAGTAGCCCTAACCAGTATGACACAGGTGTCGCCCTCACTGGCCTCTCTTGTTTTGTGACTCCTGACCTGGCTCGGGATCTTGCAAATGACATCATGACACTGGTGAGTCATGCAGAAAATGCCAAGTTTACCCACATGACTTACTTTTCCTTCTAGCGCTGTATTTTTCTCCCTGGCCATTTGTTTTTCCCCTGAAGGTCTTTTATTTTATATATATATATTTCTTAGAACCTTGCAAATAAAAATTTTCACCCTGTAAACACACGTGTCTTCTCTGTTTGTGCCGTTGTTATTCACCGTAGATGTCCCACACTAAACCTTACATCAGGAAGAAAGCCGTGTTGATCATGTATAAAGTGTTTTTGAAGTACCCAGAGTCACTCCGTCCTGCTTTCCCAAGGCTTAAGGAGAAACTGGAGGACCCAGACCCAGGTATCAAGTAACACACAGCACTGAGCTTGTTATTTTGTCCCTGTGTGTATCCTCTCCTCTGAGTCTCATAAATAATTCATACACAAACATTAAAAAATGACACTGCCAATGATGTTTTCTTTTTTGATGATTAAGTGGCTTTATGACATCATATCATCTAAATCACCTAAATGTTACCTTTTGAATTTCTTTATTTTCCATCAGTCAAGTATTTCCTTTCAGCCAGTAACTAGGAGCTGTAAAACCTGCCTAGCATCACTTGTCAGATCTATAATCCAATCACTGACAGCGGGATGTTTGTACAGTCTGGTTTTGAAAACAGCCAGTGGGGTTGCTGCGTCAGCACACTAATTTTGTCAGGGCAGCTCAGTTGTTTTAACTGAATGTGTAGACGTTTTTACCTTTTAAACCCTATCGATGCACCAAGAAGCAGTCTGATAAGAGAAATTGATTGTCTCACATGAGAGAACTCTGATAATCAAGAGAAATCTTCTCTTTTTCTGCTTTGCTATATTTTTTTTAAAATATTTTACCAGGTCTGACCTCTATAACATGCTTCTGCTTGCACATTTTGTCTGAATTTATAATTTATTTCAAATGATGTCCACAACAGGGGAAAAAAATGTATTTTTAGTTGTGTTGAATTGATTTGTTTCAAAATAGATTTTTATTTTTCCATTTTAGGTGTCCAGTCAGCAGCTGTAAATGTAATCTGTGAGCTGGCCAGGAGAAATCCCAAGAACTATCTGTCTCTGGCTCCACTTTTCTTCAAACTTATGACCTCTTCTACTAATAACTGGGTTCTCATTAAGATAATTAAACTGGTAAGACAGCAGAATGCTGCAGCAAACTAACAAAATACTTTAGAAAAACACATTCCTATTTTTTGTCATATACTTTTAAACATGTTTTATTTTATTTTTTGTTGGATATGTTAAATAGCAAATATTTTTATGGGAATAAAGCTGTCTCATTTTAAATTAGGTTTACAGTCAAATTC